TTTGGCAATCAAACCCAGCAATCTGTAAAACGTCTGAAGTTTTGTATTGATACGGATTTGTTTGTTGTTGTGATTTCTTGCGGTTTTTTGTATTTAATCATGTCTAAAAGGGGTTCAACCTTACAAATACGGTAGAAAAGCAGTACAGCGCCCTCCAATCTAAATCTCATTCTCTTTCCGCACAGACTCGAGTGCGTCTACGGCGGCACTCCGAATTTTTGTGAGATGTAGAGCACATAATTGTAAATCGTTTGAAAAGAAAACTAGAATTTAATTAATCTGCAATTTCTTTAAATGATTACCTATATTTTAAATTATATAGGTAATTATTGATTGGCAAATGGAAAGTTAATAACGATTTCAAATTCATCGAGAATAAATCAAAAAATCTATAAAAAGTTACAATATAGAACAAGCTTGCAAACGATTATATGTTTCGTCGCTGCCGGAAACCGAATACCACTTTTGAACCATCTCCTTTCCTTGGGAGTAGCAAGAAACTGTCACTCGGAATAATAATGGCACCTTATTACAACCTACAGACATTTCTGACCGCGTTTAATTAACAGTGGGTGTAATTTGAATTAAAATGTGACTATAGAAAAGATAGTTCAGCGAATGACACCGTTAACTGAATAATTCTGCAACTTCTTATTGTTCTTATGGAGCCTTGACGGTTGGAAAGCGACCTTATTACAAAAACTTGACCGCGCTTTGGTTTTGCTTAAATCCGCCCTTCTTCAACCACCACTATATAAATTCTTGGTGAATTTTAAATATTATTACCCAGTGTTTACCGTGTTACCCGTATTTCTACAAATATCTAATGAGAAAGTATAGGGGAACCTATCCAAAGAAAATGAGCACTTAACTTTAGTTTTTTTCGCTATAGTTATCTTTTCCCAACTATGAAATGGAGTAGCGATAAACGGCGTAAAATTTTATAACTAAGCCCCAGGTTTTGTTCTTAATTTTTTTTCATGTAAAAAAGTGGCAGACAATACAAAAATATGGCCCGCCCGTCTGATTTCTGTAGACGCTGGTGATACTAGAGCAGTACCAGCCTAGTTGCCTATCCCCTAACCCGTGGAGCCATGGAACATTACTCACCTACAGAGACACAACACCAACAAAAGGTTGTTTCACTGTATCTTCTGTAAGGTGGAGGTTCCTTCCTCAGACGAGCGCGCTAAAAGTCGTTACCTATGTCCCTACTTTTCTTGCAATGAAGAATATGACTACAAAATGTGATAAATTGTTAGTATCTGCTTACGTACGATTTACCGACGTGGGTGGCATTAACGAGGCCTCGTATAAGGATATCTATAGCGAAAGCAAGAGGTGGTCGTCCGCATCGCTACTCCCGATTGGCAATGAAGCGAGCCGCGCTGATTACTATGCGCGACGGACCATCCGCAGCCGGCTTTTGTTTGTGTCTCCCATTGTCCCAGCCAATGCTATGTTATCCTGTTCCAATTTGGAAGCGGTAGATTTTGTCAAAATTCCTATGGGCGGATACAATATTTGCTCTGTAGATAGAAAAGCTATTATGTGTACCGGCGTCGTTACTATTGCATATTTTAACATGAAGAAGTAGTTATTGTGACATAACTGTAAAAAGTAGACATAATGGTATCGCAGATAGATGTCGTCTATAAAATTGTAGTATCTACATCACTTTGATCTATTGTCAATAATTGTCTATTGTCAATATTTTTTTGGTATTTTTTCTCACGTAGATTATCGAAGTTTTTATACGGAACTCCATCTTTTTTTAAATATTCTATCGCCTATGTTCATCAGGAATAATGTAGGATTCTATAAACGTGAAAGAATTTTTCAAATCAGTTCATTAGCATCGGAGCCTATTGCGAAAAAAAAAGATCAAATCATTCTTTTTGGTTGTGGGTTTTCGAGTCGAGAAATCAAGTCACATTTGGAGTTACTAAAAATAGAAAAAAATAATTAAAATAGGTTCACATACCTAGCGTTCGACACAGGTGCGGTCCGAAGGAGAGGGGGGGGGGGGGTCATAGGGGACATGACTCCCCCCAAAATTTAAGGTCAAATTGAAAAATCTCAAAAATTTGGCAAATATTAAAAAGAAATGAAACCTGGTACTGCGCCTCGGCAGACACGCGATAATTATGAAGGAAATAACGAGGAATATTTTTTATACTCCACTTATAGATAGCATAATTACTGGCCTACAAGACCAACTTTCTGTGGATACAATAAACTTGTTCGGATTAGGCATTTTTATGCTGAAATTTGAATATACAGAAGAAGATCTTCTTATTGTCAAGAAAGTATCAGAATTCTATTCCCATTTTTTAAATGTTCCTGCTGCCACTGTCACTGTTACAGAGTATCCTATGGATTACAAAGTGGAAACGGGAGGTCACAGAAAATGCTGATACAAAACTTCCTAAGTGTGTAGTTTCTGCCATCGAAGTTTGTGATGATGATTTATACCCAAATATAGACATTTCTCAAAATTCTGGCAACACTTCCCATAAGTGGTGCGACAGCAGAGCGATCCTTTTCTACGCTTAGGCGTGTAAAAACGTGGTTGAGAGCTAATTTGTTAGAAGAGCGATTTACAGGTTTAGCTCTTCAAAACATTCACCCGGAAATAGTACCTACCAGACGTCTCAAATATTATCACCCGATTAAAAAAGACGACTTCTACTTGTTTCATAAGTAATAAAATAAAATTGTGTCTTGTGCAATAATGTTTATTTTATTTCAGAGACCTATTTTTTATTAGTGTAGTGAGTGACCCCTTCAAAATTTCAGGCTGCGACCGCGCCTGGTTCGACAGAGCAGGCTTTTTAAAAAACTTTCAAAAATCAATTAATATGGCTACTGCCCATAACACTACCGTATGCGAGAGGAAATTTCTATTAATCAATTCCCAGTCGTCACGGGTTTGCACCACGAGCGGGAATGACCGAATATTACTTAAAAGATTGAACATAAACTACTATACACCAGTTTGCTTTTATAAATTGTTCGCTACGTAGCCGCCTGTTTTCTTTGTTTATAAGAGGGCATGACCATGTTATTTATAAATGAACCGAAAGCGAGAAAAAAGTAGGGACAGTTAACAGGGCGCATCATTTGCGCCCACTTGACTAAATCAAAATTTATTAACAAGTTTCCTTTATGGGTGTCGCATACCGATTCGACATTAAACATTGACCTCTTCCACACATAAGTGTTTATACAGATTAACATAAACTATTATGTATGCTTACTTATACATGTGCAGGTAGCTACAGCGTTTTTTATAGGCTCTACAACTTGGGTTTTTCATGAGTAATCCATACTAATATTATAAATGCAAAAGTGTGTCTGTCCGCCTGTTAAATCTTGACGTTTAAGCCGCTGAACATATTTAGATGAAAAGTGGTACAGAGATAAGTATTTGGAGTCCCGAGGAAGGACAGAGATTTTATCCCAGAAATCATTCTTTAACATTGTGAAAAGGGGGTGGAAGTTCGTATGGGAAACATATTTTTCCACGCAGATGCAGTCGCAGGCGTCCACTAGTAACTAATTAGGAACGTATAAGTACTGATTACTTACACCTACACAATTTTTTTAAGTCCATCTTGTTATTATACATAGCTAGCCGTGTCACATGTAACATCAGCAGCAAAGAGGAATCTATTGTGATAAGCGTCAACCACGTCTTCAATGAAAACGAAACTCTAGCGTAAACTAAGTAAAAGAACGATCAAAGGAATACCCTTAGATTTTGACGACGCCGGCGGGATTATTAGATAGGATAAAATAATTATTTAAACTTTTAGAAGTGCGTAGTCTGGCGTAATCTGAATATAAGACCACAACTTTTCTATTCACTAATCCCTGTCGTTCTTCTCAACTTCTTGATCAAGTCTTATAAGCTGTTGGCAGTACAGAATCAATAGTTTTGCCAAGCAATATATATAAGTTCATAATTAATAAATGATACTCTTCTTCTATTGCACCATACGCACATTAAGTATTGCGTTTTATTAAGTTTATCTCTTGAGCTGACCGAATTTTGACCGTGAGCTTTTTCCCACGTTCTTCTTAGAGGTACCTATATCTAATCTTCTTTTCATCACCACTAATAAATCTTTTAGAAAACATTACCCTCCTTTTTTGGGCACTCTTGTAAAAATAGTTCGATTTCGCTGTCGCACACATAATACACGGTGCATTAAGTTTCTTTCAGTAAGTTAATGTGGTACCATTTTCTATCTATCATGACAATCGAGCTTTTATGGTGTTATAGTTTATAATTACTATATGCTACAACACATGTGTTGTTTGCGAGTTCTGGTTAGTCTAATTATTGGGATACAGCATCATACAATTGATAATTGCCATTGTTCTCAATCCAACTACCTAGGTGATTGTACCTAGTAGGCGCTCCAACTTGAGCGGGAATATCAGTCTAACTCCCACGGTACTTCTATTAACATTTATTTATAACTAAAATTTAAAGGAAAACTGTGTGGAATTATAATACTTCAAGAATGCCGAAGATCAATACGCCATAAAAGAATTAAATATGCATAACTTAAACACTTATCGGCGAAATTGGTTGTCGACAAGAAAAAAATGTAAACATTTTTACCTTCCGAATTTGCTTTTTCTATCGCGTATGTATCAATTTAAGTAGCTTCATTGACTCGTAATAGCGCAATCGTTAAATTACTTTCAATCAAAGTGAATCTACCAAATGCAGAAATAAGGCCGTATTAATAGTTCTACATAGGAATCGTCTGATAGGCCTCAATCAAGACCGATTGCAGAAACTGTAACTAGTGTTGAAATTGGGTTAATTTAATAACAATTTGACTTATTAGGTAACCATAGTAAACAGTAGAACCGTCATCAGTTTTTAGAGTTAAATTATGATTTATAGTTTGCATTACCGTCTTTTTCAATACCTACCTAGATAGAACACAGGAGTGCCAGTTTTGTCATTGAAGAAAACTCACCAATAGCAGCTGCACGTCGTTCACTTTTAGTACTGCACTTCCAAAATTTCATTTTTGTTTTTAGTCGCAGAGGTCAATGTTGAGCAAGACGATCAACGCGCGCGGCCGCCAAGTCAAGGAGTCATCATCGAACTGGCGTCTGAGCCGAAACAATGGCTTATGTTTACGATGCCCGCGCGGCAAATTTATTAAATTGCCGAGTGTAGTGGCCGGCTGGCGGGCAATGGGCCGCAACAACGCGAGTGCGACGATCGAACACCCCTGCACACAGTCTCCGGTTGCAACTGCACCGGCCGCGGAAGGCGTGGGAGCCTCGCTGATCAGTGCTCAACTCACACCTCGATATACTCTTTATTTATTCATCTCCAATACTACTGTGGCTTTTTGAATTCAGGAAATAAAAAAAAGCGTAGTAACTTTGTCAAACAAGGTACACATGAGAAGCGAGCGTCGCCACTCAATAGCTGCTCTCACACTCATACCGTACTAATATTATTACTCAAAATAAAAACATAAACTGTAGCGTAAAAAAGTTTAATGTCTATCACATCATGTCTTCCTACGGTAATAATTTTGGAACATAGATGCCGAATATTATGCTAATGGAAATCACTACCATTCGAAGCAAATTAGTCCCAATTTATTTTGTCTCAATATACATGTATCGTGATAAAAGTCAGTCTAGCGGTTCAATTGAATTATAATTTTGACATTCAAATCGAATTTCCAAAATATAAAATATAGGGACAAGTGTGCAACAATGGCACGGATCTGCTTCGAATTTCACATTGTTATTATTGCACTATAAAAATACATAGTAAGCATAATAGTTTCTAGGCACATTTCTGTACTGTCTATGATTATGATTACACACTTCTATCAGTAACATAAATTACACTATATCTAACTTAAACGAAACTGAGATTTTTGTTTTTAGACTGAAAATTATTCACGTAACGATGAAAAAATTTACGCCGCATATGGCGCAGTATTTTTAACCAAGTATCAATCATCACAAAACGAGACGCAAAATATAAATTTTTCGTTTCCGGGACAACGGCGCAGCGTCCACGAATTTTATTAATAAATTGGGGAAGGCCTTTTTTGTGGTAAGTTGCCAATAGGGGAACCTAGACTTTTTTTTTAAATACAGCAATCAAATGTTCATGATCTCGCAATAATGAAGGTATAGTATTTTATAATGCGCAGTATATAAGACAGTATATAATGCTGTCTAGTCTGAAACCTTTATAACTAAGCATGATAGAACGAAAAAGGGGACTTTTTTATGAAATTAAATCGTGTAAAATACACACAAAATAGGTGATCAGTTTTATTCAGATATTCTTTTTAAAGATGGGTGAATTAATCAGTCAGAACAGTATCAACCTTAGCCTGTTATAAAGATCATCTCGCAGACGGACTCGCTAGTTTTGTCGGTGTCGAACCAAAAATATTTTGATTTGAGATTTTGTGAAAAAAACGCGTTTATGTATTTTTTAAAACTGTATACAAGTATACCACTAAGGTCCATTTGCAGAATTTTGCTAAATCTTAATCTAACTGAAACTTAGCCCATACAATGATGTCAAAATAACATTGAAGTTTTGTAATTTTTCTATGTAAAGAATACATTTAATTTTCATTGAATCGATATTTAGAAAATTTGCTACACGTGGACCTTACAGATATTAAATAGATAAAGGGAACTATATTTTCTATCACCAAAATTTATATTTGTCATCAAGTTGTATCACCTAATAAATAGATCTATCGCCACGAAATATTTTCGTTCTCAGATAAACAAAAATTGTTCCCAGGTATGAATTATCAAATTAATGTCAATATATGTGTAAAATAAGAGATCGATAACCAATAAAATTATATTGCATTACATGAATATAAACTTCGTTCTTATAATAACAGTTTTGTTACTTAAATAATAGCTCTGTGCTCAGAATGGTAGATCTGTCACCAAATAAATCGATTATCGATCCCTGACTGCGACTCCTTTTTATTTGATATTTTGTCACCAATACAGTAGTAACATTTTATTTCGTTCAGATATTAAATTAATAGTATTCATTACCAATTTAATACATCAATTTATAATTTTAATGAAAAAATGATCAAAGGGGCGGAGACAAATTGGCGCGCTTTAAAAATTGACCAATCCGGCCTCAACGATGGGTAACTAGGTTCGATCACACGATGCGCGACGCGGGCGGCGTGCGAGAGAGATGCAAGTTTACTTCATTCGCGATTTCACGTTCATTGTTGTAGGTGCATTTTATTATCGTTGTGGATAATTTGTTGTTTTAGTTAATTTCTTAAATGTTTATTTTTGATTATGGCATCAAGTAGTGGTGAAGGTAATGCAAGTCATTCAAAAAGTTTATCGTCGTTTGTCGAGCAATCATTCGTGGAGAATGTGCCGATATTGGAGTCTGATGAGGAAAATGAGGAAGGTACTGACACTGATGAAGGCACCATACCAAAGAAGAAACGGTCGCAAAGCAAGGATTGGATTTTCGTTAAAAAATTTGAAGACAAACACAGTGCTGAGGAGTATATAAAGGCTGAAAAAATTTGGTCTTTTCTGCGAACGCATGATGTAGAGGAAGGGAGAAAAAAGTACTTTAGATGTAATAAAGTGGTGCGGAAGGGATCACAGTGTTCAGCTCAGTTGTATTTAAAAACTCATGTACTCATTCTCGGATGAAGTATTGTTGTTTCGGACAGATTCTGATCATGACCACGATTCAAAAACGCTCGCTTGTTATGGGCTTAGTGACAGAGTAAAGGAAGAAATAAACAAATTATACGACTCAAACCAAAAGCCATACTTGCAAATTTGACTAAAATTGATGGTAATAAAGTGCCAAAATTGTCCCAAGTAAGGACGTATTTAATTGACAGACGCCGTTGTAAATACGGACAGCCCACGATCAGCCTAGGCGAATTGGAAGCTTGGCTAAGGTCTCATTCACCAATTCCTGACAACGAACATGAAGTTTATGTTATGGGTATGAAGTGATTGAAGAAACTAGTTCACCACGCTTTAGATTTGTACTATCAACAAAATATTTGCTGCAAAAAGCACGTGACGTAAAAGTTATTCATGCTGATGCTACATACAAGTTGGTGTGGCAAGGATTCCCCGTTCTTGTCGTTGGAAGTACAGACAAAAATAAACGATTTCATCCATTCGGGCTTGGGGTTGCCACTAATGAGGCAAAAGAAGACTAAGTTGTTGTTCGATGCCATCAAGACTAATATCTTTAACTTGTACTCACAAACCTTCAAACCAGAAGTTCTAGTATGTGACGCAGCGAAAGCAATACAAAATGCATTTATAGAGGTATTTGGTGAAGATGTCACAATTCGAATGTGTTGGGCACATGCAAAAATAAAAATTCAAGCTCATGTAGAGAAAGATACGCGAAAAAATGTTCACAAAGATTTGTTGACAGATGTGGATTCTCTCCAAGCAGTGACTGATTCAGAAACGTTCGAGTTAGCTTCACAAGCATTCTTGAAGAAATGGGAGGATGAGACAACTTTCATCCAGTATTTTAAGGAGGAATGGCTCATACAAAACCGTAACTGGTATTTGGGGGTTCACATGGGTTCACCAGCGACTAATAATGCACTAGAATCACATAACCGAGTAATCAAAGATGAATACACGCTCCGTGAACGTTTGCCACTGTCTCGTTTTTTGACAGTTGCTTCAGAGTTTGTAAATGGATGGTCGTTAGCTGTCGATGAAGTATTTGCGACATTACCAACTATGACTCTGAAAGACTGGACAGAAGCCTACCAATGGGCTAAGTTGCCTAAAGAAGTAATACTGACGTATAGTGACGATGCTTTTAAACACTACGAAGTACCGGCTGGTAAGGCAAACAAAATACAAAACTTTGAAAATACATGGACTGATTTTGATGAATACAAAGTCCAATGGTTCAGCAAATGGAGAGTGGATCTACCGCACAATATTGATTGGATGCATGGGAAATGCAACTGCCCTGCGTTTTACAAGAAATATATGTGCAAACATATTATCGGATTAGCCATACGCTTAAAGCTGGCCAACCCCCCACCAGAAGCAAAAAATGTGCTTATCGGCCAGAAAAGAAAAAGGGGGCGCCCTTCGAAATCCAAACCAGCGCTGATTATTCAGTGATTATTGTTTTTTAAGAATAAATATTGATTATTTTAACTTTAATTAAGTGTTTTATCTACTATTCTGCTAGCCATAAGCCAGCTATTTTAAACCAGCGCTGACTGTTCAGTGGTAATTATTTTAAACAATAAATATTGATTATTTTGACTTTAATTGTTTTATTTACTACTCTGCTAAAATTTTTATTTAAATATAATTTATACTACCAGTGGAAATTTAGAACCTTGGGAGTCTAGTTAAGTAGCAGAATCTTTTGGTTGAAACAATGATGACAACCCTAATTTTTTATTTGAACTTACTGCAATTTTCTAGTAACATAATATGATTTATTGGTGATCTCTTTAAATTAGTTTGCTTAAATACTTATTAGAACACACCTATTATAATACATACAAAAACATTTATTTGGTACTAGACCTTATATCTCAGGATTTTAGGTGATTTATTGTGGAACTGATTTTGCATTGTTTGGTGACTACATTTTGGTGACAGATCTACTATTTTGAGGACAAACCCTATTATTTAAGAAACACAAAACTAATTAAATTGGTGATAGCTTAAATGATACCCATAGATAAATAATTATAAGAATAAAAATAATTTATGTAGTCATTTTACATATAAAAAAAAGTTTTGTTTATTTTTCTAAACATCATTCAAAGAACTTTTAAAAACTTTCTTAACAATCATAATTAATTTAATTCTTTTGTTTTAGTGTAGAAGTAGTAATATTAACAAAGTAATTCCACTTTATTAAAATATGAGATATTTGAACTAATTTATTTTAATTCTATTATTGTTGCACGTTTATGTTATCACTAGTAATATTACCTTCCCGATTTTTCCAAAAAATAGCTGAAAGTTCAGCACCAACTGTCGATTTGTTATTTCTTGAAAACTAGGACCCATAAATTAATACTCGACATTTATATAAAAACGCAGATATAGAAGAATATTTTATTGTGTTAAAAAAATTCAATCTACACATTTGTTGAATTTGAATACAGAAATTAAATGTACGGCAATAAGTGCTATATAATACTATATGTATTTGTAGACTATCCGCCCGATGGTACCAGTCTGTAATAAGTTAATATGGGTATAGGCTAAAACTAATAAAACTATCATTACGGCTTTTGGATCGGAAATATCCATAGGCCAAAAGGTTAATATGGAAATTAGTTAAAGATAAATATTTTTTAAGAAATAAACTATTTTGGCCCATAATACATTTCTTTACAAACATTTTGAGCGAAGTTTGACGCTGATTAAAATAAACATAATTTTTATATATCATGCGCCTACGTACTTAAAAAGCTAAATAAAGGTATCTTTCGAGAGATTATATTTAAAATGGTAAAAAAAACAGATATCCAGTGCAAGCATAAATTATACTCGATCCTTGATTCCAAATGATATTGGGATATTTCAATCTTAAAATTGATATGTATCAATTAAACCACGATGTGACGATAGTACGCAAGTACTCGCATTACGTACGTACATAAAAAGACATGACGAAAAATAATGTCTTAGAAAAATTGTTCTTAGAAACTATTGTATTCCTTCGAGAATCCAAAGTCTATCACAGAATAGATACATGTATTACAATCTTGTAAGACCTATTCGGTAATCATAATGGGAAACAACAGCTATGTTAAGTTTGTTTCATTGGTTAATTAAACATACACCGAAGCTACAGCACGTTTAACATCATACTTTGAAGGCACTGCTTTTTATTTTAAATTAATGGTGGTTCACAATAATGTTGGACAATATTCGAATCATCGTATCCCGGTTTCCAGAATCCAATTTTTTTTCAAGGACTATATTATAGGTAGCAGCATACTTCTTGACCAAAACCACAGTCAATTAAACTTGCAAAGTAAACGTTTTTGTAAGTAGAATTACCACTGCGCAAGATTCCTTGCCTATGGTCGTTACCCAACAAGTTTTCCGGGGTGTAACTAAGATGTCACGGCACTACGCTTATATTAGTTTATTATAACGAAGAGTCGATTTTTGTACAACATTACTACACGGTGGTATAAGTCGTATTAAGTTTAACCAAAAAGTTGCAATATCTAACACTAGGTATGTTTTCTGTTTGACTTTAATACATTTATTGCTTCAATATTGAACCATATCATATTGTCAAAACGACATTATAACAATCTCCTATTGTAGGAGCTCGAGGTTAGAACAATTACTTATTCATAAGTGCTAGTTGCCTGTGTTTTGCATCCTTCAATGTATATGAAGACAATATCCCCCACGCAATGTGCGGCAGGCACTTAGCATACACCCTTATTAATAAACAAAGAAGAAGAAACTTGGCAGTGTTTTGTTCACTAACAATGAAATTTGTAATTCGAGGAACAGAGACAAAACACTGCGTAACTATTCCAAGTTCATTCTTCATTCACTACTAAGGGGGCTTATCATTTACAATAGAAAACAAACACACACAAGACATCAGATCAAAAACTAAAATCAGACACAAAACATACCCTTTCCATCAACCAAAGTTTCGCAGTCCATCAAGCATCATCCCCATCATTATAATTATCATCCTAATCAAAAACATTCCCACTCAAAATTACGATTACAAAATAAACTACATACATGGCTAGTGTGCTAATTATACGTCGTCGTGTAAATACGATTAACTCTATATAATAATATACTTACATTTAATAGCATTCTATCGAATCAGTTTCTCGACTTGAAAATACTGAAAAGGTGTCGCCTAGTTATTGCCAAAAGTTACTTACATACGGCGTTCTTTTTTTTCTCATGTAAAAATGGGTTGTTTCACGTTGCAGTGTCAATGTCTGTACCAAGCACCTTGGACGCGGGTCTGGAAGTGTGACACGGGTGTGACGAGATACGCTTGCTGTGGTTGTTGGACTACGGCTAGGGGTATGACTTGTTGGGCCATTTCCACTTGTTGGGCATTGTCGTCGGCCACTCCTAACGGGGCGACGCAATGTTGCTGCGATACTTGCTGTACGCCGCCCACTTGCTGCGTTAACACTTGCTGGTGTTGAGACACTTGCGGTACTAGCATTTGTTGCTGCATCTGGTTTTGCTGCGACTGCGAATATATTAGAATCCTCTTATTGATAGCCTAATTGTTAGCTGATATAATCATGCTAATATTATAAATGTGAAAGTGGGTCTGTCTGTTGCGTTTTCAAACGTTTAAATCAATGAACCGCTTTAAATAAAATTTGGTATAAAAAGAGTTTCGAGTCCCGGGAAAGGACTCGCACTAATAATTATCCTATGATAGTTATCATTCTAAAAATCATCCTTTAAGGGCCTGAACAGGAGAGATGGGGCGGGGGGAGTTGGTATGAGAAAAATATTTTTGCATCCAACTTACAACTTTGTTATATTCACCAAAACCTTTGGGATTTGATTAAATACGATTGTAATTATAATTAATCATAGTTCTGAAGAGCTCAATCGTTAAAACTGTACACACACACAAAATATCACAACAGGAAACCAAATAATTTTACAATAATCAAGATGCCATGGGTTTTTGTTGCGATCTCATATTATGTTGTCTGTCATTAATTAATGGGCAGATCGTTCCATGTATTTTTATACTTTCATTTAAATCAATCATTTCATAAAACATTGTATGTGTTGATTTCTGTGTCTTAATTATAATTTGACATGGTACCACATTTTAAATACTGAAAGTGGTCCTTTACGGAAGAAAGATTAAAGGGCATTGTTTTACAGGCGCCGTCGTAACTAGTCTTTAATTCGTATCTTATGACGGAGCTTGTAAAGTTTACAAAAGGTCAAGAATATTGTAAAAAATCAATTGTGATCAGCTACCACAACCTTTGCTAAAGCTATATTAAATAAAAAATAGGCAATACAATGCCTGTCCCCATAGCATGAGCACCTCAATTTATGTTATATCACGTTTTCTATCGCGTCTAACTGTCAAACTCCATAATAATTTGACAATTGAGCGTGATAAAAACGAGTTGTATATCATATCGCGGTGCTCATGCTAGGGGGGGGGGCTGAGATGTAATTTGTGCATTGCTGGTCGTGTTTACCCTATATCCCCTAACTTTAAACTATGATAAACCTACCAACATAACCAAAAGGAAGTATTATTATTTTATTGTGGTTAAGATAAATGAAAAACCGGCCCTTCTATCTAGCCTTGTCAAGTGACTTTATTAAATTAATTTAATGAATTTATTAATGAAATTAATAATATCTGTCAATATTATTTAAAATTGATATTTTACCCACAACACTTTTAGCGTTAAGTCCGCCTTTTGTCCATTCTTAAAATTGTGGTAATAAGTTTAAATCTTGTCAATGTCTCCCTAATTTCTCTTATTATGTAGCTTGCCCACCATGGAGAAAAATCGCGGACGAACACTCAAAAGGTGGTCAGATGACAAGAATGGTAGAAGGAGCCCTCTGCTTAAGAGTGGCTAGAGACAGGTCTGAGTGGAAGAAGCTGGAGGAGAACTATGTGTCAGCAGAACACGCTGATGTGGTTAATGATGTTTATTAGCTTCTAAGTATTTTAAATGTACCTTTACTAGCAATAAAGGCTTTTGAATTTTTGCGAGTTTAAATAAATAAATATAGAACTTTGAATTTAGCGCACTCACCTGTTGCTGATGTATAACTACATGTGGTCCACCCTGCATCTGTTGGTGTTGCTGCACTTGTACTTGCTGCACTTGTTGTTGTTGCTGTTGCTGCTGTTGTTGCTGTTGTTGTTGTTGTTGCTGTTGTTGCTGCTGCTGCTGCTGTTGTTGTGCTTGCTGCTGCGCTCTCTCCTGCTGTTCCCTTTCGTGCTCCTCTTTCTTCTTAGCCTCTAAAGCCGCCTTCTTCGCTTCCGCCTTCTCTTTCTCGTGCTGTAACCTAACAGGATCCTTATTCTTGTCATAGCTCATGCACTTCCCACTTCTGAAAGGCACCATCTCTTTAGGCAAATCTTGCTTTTTCGTAGCGAACTTGACGTGCGGAAATTGGTCCTTCATGAAAGCTCGGAAAGTCGAGTAACCCATAAGTTTTACACCCGGTTCTAATATCTCCCCGTACTCTTTGTACGCTTCGAACAAGTGCTTTCTAGAATCACCTTGTATTATGACGGTTTTACTCATTTTCTTGCCGTCACCAGAAGGCTGGACGTCTTTGGGAGAGCTGGCGTGCTGTTTTAAATATTCTTTGAGGAAATTGGTAGCATGTTTGTATATGTCGAGAGTGAACGTGTTGTATGGCTTCTTTCCAACGTTGCCGTGAATCCGCGGCGCGACCCCGTGCGTCATCACATGTTGCCTAATGCGTTTGAGCTGATAATGTGTGACATTCTCGAGGTACAGAAACGCTTCTAAGCACACTTTCCGGCCTTGGTATACGTAGCAAGCGCGAAGCCTCCTTCTCACTTTGTGCCGTGATGTTTCGGCGGGGTTCGCCAAACTGGCCATTGTGATACCCATCAAGTACATGTCATGTTCGCTTTTGGTCAGTTCTGCAATGTTCAAACGGTGGCGGTACACTGCTTCGGGATTGAGACCGCGATAGCAGTTGTCTTTGCAATCACAACCTCTTCTCAGTCTCTCCTTAACCTGCAAATTCAAAAAGAGTATTAATTACATTTAAATCTTCAATGAATTAATATATTACATTATTTATAATTAAATTTCATTATATTCAATGACAGCAACATTTATTGATTTTTGCTACTGTACTACCAATATTTGTATCCCGTTGAAGGTATTTGTCTATTCTATGAGATAGCATTTCACCATTAAAAATATTTTTATGTTTATTTAATTATGTCTGTATGTTTTAGTTACTATGTACTGTGATTTTTATGTAATTACCTATTACTTAACCTTTGTTTTAAGAGTTATAGGTGTGAATTACATACTTGGAACTTTATACAATAATAAAGGTATTTATTTCACAATATTTTGTTAGCTGTGTACTGTACTGTATCCTAATGTTTTTGATACACAATGCAAGTATTGTAAATAAAATTAAATGTTTTGCTACATACACTTATTATTTTCAAAGAACATAAGAAACATAGTTCTGAATCTAAAATCCATCACCCAGTATCATGAATTGATCAACACACCTCTAATAGCAGCCTTTGAGCAAATGAATTTCTCATTCTGAGTTTGGCCAATAAGGGAAAAATTTGCCCTGTTATATTAAATTTGTTTTCAACCTCTGAATAATTAATATGTATCCTTCCTTTGCGCTTGTAGTTGTGACATTTGCCATATGGAAATTTGAAATCACAAAGGTATTGCAAACATGCAGGTACAAGAAAATACAGAAAAGATTAGTTTAGAGCCGGTACCTACCACTGATGAATACTTATAAAAATTTAAGTAGATTTTAAATTTTGAATCAATATTTTCTTCTATTGAGCTTAGTACAAGTATCATTCACGTATTAAGACTATGTAAGTCTTCCAACACTATGACACAGACAAATACTGCATAGAATTTATTTTTTACCACATTTGGCATGGCACATGGTTGAAAATTCCAAAGATGTTGTCTGTTAAGTATGGTAAACTGAATAGCCACCTACCTGCAGGGGATTGTCTTCCAATTTGTTGTCAAGGACTTCTTCGTCACTGTCAGAGTCAGACTTTTTCTTTCTCTTAATAATTTTCTTCTCAACTTTAGGTTTTGTTTCAACATCCAAGTCTGCCGTATCTCCATCAACATTTGGACCAAATTCTAGTGTATATGAAGTTGTCATAGTTTGCATACTGCCATCTCCATTCTCAACTTGTATTGTATGGCCTTGCCACAAAACCTGAAATAAATTTCAAAATAATATAGTATATGGGTTTGATTTATTGTTCTTATGTGTATGTGTAGGAATGGGCACCTAAATTCTATCACTATTACAAATGAAATGTAGGTAGGTACTTAGTTTAATTTTTTATGTCCAAATCTGCCAGCCTATTAGCTAACATTTTTGACATTCGCAGTGTCTTACTAAAGAGCAAATTGCATATCCAAGTATGCTTTTCAGGATAAGTATTTTAGTGGCTATATAATCAATAACTGATTGGTGATTATCACTTCCTTCTGTCAAAATCTGTTAGTGATAGCAGATATTTATACTGCTGTCCTCAAGCTAAAACGCGGCTAAATGACACAACCAACTATTGAGATATGGCCAAAAAACAGCTCGTAAACTTAAGATTATTGCTATTTTGTAACCATTCAGCACATGACGGATTTTTAGACTTAAACTATTAAAGATACAAATACTTGTTAAAGACAGATCGATAGAGTACTAAAATCTATATAAGATGCAATTTAGGGCTGAAAAATCAACCACATGTCACTTAGCCGCACTTTAATTTGAGGATGGCAGTATAACTATACCCCACCTGATGCAAGTGAAGTTCATTTGGAAGGCACTGCCACCCCGCCAATCTGAACCCTTTTCTACCACACTACAGAATAGTGATATTTGACTGCAAACCAAGGATATTTCCCTGAACCTGTCCTTAAATTCAATAATTCCACAGTGCCTTTAAGACTCTCTCTATGTTTATAGTATTAAGATATAGTACATATAACTTTTAAATGAATATAAATGTTATTAAGTTTTTGAAGTACTAAACTTTTGCCAGCGAAATTCTGTAGGAGCTGCGACCAATTAGGAGATACATATTTTAAATATGTACTAATTATTTTAGTAAGACTCGGCAATAATAATACCTCTTAAAAATTGAATAATAAATTGTAGTACTTAATTATAAAGTTGCGGATCTATCAGAACAAAAATATTAAGCTTGTTGATCGGAGTGAGCAGAAGACATTGTTTGTTCAAATTATAACTTCTGATACTACTCATAATTTTTACTATAAGAATGAAAATAGACAAAGGCAAGTTTCTATATCATTCTGCGATAGAATATGGTGATCATCATTGGGATCTCTCAGATTATTTTTGTATTAACTTGTTTTAATTGAGTAAAAGTCATACAAACCTGTTCTTGATGGCCATTGTAATGTTGTTGTTGCATGTTCTGTGGAGCACTCATTTCGAACACTGAATGCTGGCCCATGACGGGCGTATGCCACTGAGCACTCTCACCATATTCGCCGCCACCGTTTTGATCTTGTGGTATGGCTACTATGATCGCCTCCTTGCTGTCTACACTCCGGCGTTCCACAGACAGCAGCGAGTGCAGAACCTCACTCGCCTCCTTCTCAGCAGGATTCACCACTTCCATTTTTTCAAACGACATGTTCACCGCTCCACGCTCGCTACAACCGATCGTTCACGTCAAATCACATGTATACATACGTGTATGTACAAAGGCGACACCTCAAACCCGCCCAGAATTCTATAAAATCGCACAACCCCAAGACACAATACGAGAAAACCGCGGAGAACTTTTCAAATTCATGTAAATAAACATAACAAAAACCGCGCAATTATTAACCTTAATCGCATTTTTTAAGTTTCATTATCGCATAGCGGATCGAACTCCTGTGGAATATTGGGCCATATAGTCATAGCAAAGGAAGAATAAAACTCACCTTTTACACCTTATTTCGGAGACTGGGATACTTAAAAACGTATCCCCACGGTCCGTTATCGTATGTGGTTTATTTTATTTCACTTAATTTCGACATTGCAGTCATAATTAAAGAGAAATGCACAAATTTTTCACTGAATTCACGGAAGCAATATGGCGATACACTTTCCGTGAATAAAATCGGAGGACGCCGTAGAACATGTAATTAGTACAGTGCGCCGCCGCAGTGGCGCTAGCATCGCATTTCCGATCGAACGACACAGGCCGACTGTGTTGGCGGTATTTTTGAATAGATCGTGGTAGTAAAGGTAGTACAACAGAATAGTAAGTAAATATTATGATATTTAAAGTTCATTTTATAGAAAAATCGTAAGAGTGAGTTAATATTATTTTATATACGTTTGCCTGCCTATACAATACAAAATCTAGTTAAGAAAAATATAACGGATTATTTTCTACATATTGACAATACTGTAAACCTTTATTACATAAATGATAATAGTCTTCACTTGTACGTATTCACCATCTGTCAAGTTGGCCTGTCGCCTGTCCGATGTGGAAAATAACGTAAACGTAATTTCTTTAAATAATATTTTAAAAGTGCAATAAAAATACCTACATTAGTCACATTCAAAGGGATGCGATGGTGAAATATAATAGCGGTGATAAAAAGAGGGTCGGCAGCGAAGTGGAAAGCTTATTCATATACCTACCTACTATGAAACTGATCTTCTCGTATTCTTTTTAATACTTACATTTATAATAATGATGGCATATAACGAATGACCATTTATTTCATAATAAATAAAACAGCACGGAATACTCTACTTTATAGAGTAGATACTTTGTATAATAGGTACATAAATATAAATTACCTTTTAAATATACCTACACATGGGACCTAAAACAAAACTCGATCAACCAACGCATTTCCTCTTTAAGATATCCGTCCGCTAACTTCCGAGGACAACGTCCTGGTTTTCCATGCTGCGTCAGACAGAAGCCCATTCTTTATGATGAATGAACTACCTATTTGGTTTAAAAATAGAGCAAACAGCCTTTTTCACCAAGTTGTTTTACCAACGTTAGGTCTTATTGTTTTATAAAATACATACACGGATTAATATATTCTAAGACCTTTTACAAAACGCCAAAACATACGATAAAAGGAAATCCGTCGAAAAAAACAATACAGCTCCTGTATGTAGGCACCCTTTTTGATTGTCTATGAAAAAATCTGTCAAAACTTGTCAAGTAATTTACTGTAATTTGAATTTAGTGTTTGGCGCAGAAGAAGATTTGCATATATTTTGTTTTTATTAGCAAAAAATTTTGGGTATTCCACTAATCATGAGTCCTTCATTGTTGAATTGAATATTTTCGTGATTAATTCGGTTCGAACAAACAAAGTGTATACTTATATGTACTTACATTATAAAATAAAATGTTATTCTATTTCGTTAAAGTAAGTACTTACATGATTAAAGAATAAGGGTTATTAAATATACCATTGGTTACCATACACTCAGGTAAACTAACTAAATAATAAATGTAATATGTTATAATTGTTTGTGGAATAAGGTAAGGTACTTACACAATTTTATCAAACTGGTCATATTATCAAAATAAAACTTGAGTTACGTAGTTAAATGTACATGCATAACTATAGTATATATTTTTTCTTGTACCTATATGAGTATAAAATGCGACTTTCGCATGGATTGGTTAAATTTTTGTACTTGGCTACAAACTATTTACCTACATATGTAATTTATTTCTAATATTTTTACATATTATATTTATTACTCTTATCTAATTAGGATAGCTCACTTACCAACTGCAGTATCCAACGTGAAACAGCTACTCCTGGATCTGACCACAGCACCAGGCGATGTCCCGTCAGGCCATTCCATTCGCTCCTCCATCGCTTTAGAAGCACTCTTTCTGAACTGCTCCAAGAAACTGTCTATTTGCGTTTCTAAGCTTGTTGGAGAGCTAGCCATCGTTTCCACCGAAACACCAAAAACAAACACTACACGCTATCCCGCCGTATTCATTTGCGCTTTTAATATTCTCCACTGGTATTTACTTCTACGCAATAATTTTATATAATAAGGAGTTCCCATAGCACCCTGTAGTATAGCCGTTTTTCCATTATTTTAGACGGCATTTGACGTCGAATTCACCAGCGAAAATATTAACACCGCGAGCCGCAGCGGCATTTAAAAGAAACTATTCGATAACGTGAGATTTTACTACAGATACCGTTAAATGTACGGCAACGAAAATAAAGCGACACCCACCGACATCTATCGATCGCTGCCAACAGCTGTTTGCTTAAAGTTGCCAGTTATATGACTTTCGCTAGAACCAATGGCTTAAAATGTGGCAAGCTTTATGGCTTTAATTATTAATCAATGTTTTTTTGCTTCTTATTATTTAATTTGCTTATCATAGTTTTTTAGACTTAAGAGAGCTGTAATAATAATAAATTGCTTAAAGCGCGCATGCGTCAACTGCTTTTATGTGTGAGGTTAATAGCGTCATTGTAGCGTAGTATTGTTGTATGTGTGAGTGAGACACAGGCGGGCGAGAGGGGTCGAGCCGGCTACCGCTACCGCGCACGCTGCTTGCATTTGCTAGTGCTGCGCGAAGAGCGCGCGTGGTTCGTGTTAACAGAGGTGATTGGATCTGTCACGCACGACATTACACCCGGCCTCATAATGTCAAGTGAGTTAACCCCTTTTTTTGTATTTCTTTTAGAGAAAAAGGGACATTCAAACTCTTCGTCAATCATTATAATCTGTTTATTAACTCCTGTATCAGTAAAAAGAAATTGAAGAAACCAGCAAATTGACGTCGTGGGTAGATGTAACAACTGTTAAGTATTTTTATTACCATCAATCAATCGCACATACATCACGACTATATCTGTGACCAAAAATTTCACGAATGTCTCGTAAGATAAATTTTATTCAACGCTGCTGAACAGTCAGGGAAATGTGTAATAATACATTGCCATCGTTATGTTTTACACAAAATCATTAAATCATTTTATGAATTCCAGAATGTAATATTATCACAATTTGCCTTGTTTGTTGATGTAGGAACCATAATATTAAGCTAAGTACCTACCTATATAATTGTCATTTTATAATAATTTACGTTTATCGATTCGATAATTGTTTACCTTAATTCAACTTAATACTGATAAAATTGGTCAAACTGGTTTGCTATTTATAATGACATCAAAATTAAAATATAAATAACCTTGGGTTCTATTCATGCCAAAACGCCAGTTCGCTTTTATATAGGTAGTTCAATTTTGTTGATACTACAAATATTATGTAAACCAGTTATTTTATCTATCTCATTCATAAAACGGCAAGTTGTACTGATAGGCATTTGAGCAAAACTCTATGAATTAATTTCATGTGGATTCTACGTTTTACACTTGTAGTATCATCGACATTATAAACAAGAGATCACTATCTGCTAACTGCAAATCCATAAACAGCTAACCTGACTATCAGTATAAAATAGTGTTATCGCTGTTAAAATATCTACAGAGTCATTCTACTCTTTATTCTTAACCATGTCAGATAAATTGTTAAAAAAAATCGAACACGCCACTCGATACTCTTGAGATAAAACTTATTATGTAAGATATAGACTTGGGCAAGGATATGTGGTTAATTGTTGGATATTCTATACCAGACGCAAAGGTTGATATGACCCGATTGCGGATTTATCGGTGGCGCCATGTAATACTGATATTGTCCGTTGTGATGAGGACTTGGAATACTTTTTTTGATATTCAACTTTTAATTTTCAGTAATCAGAACATAAGACTTTTCAAAGGAATGGATAGGTACAAAGATTTTTTCTAGTTGCACCAATTTTGTTTTTATAAAACTTTTTCTTCAATTATTTGATTTCATCTATTGTGATTTGAAAGAAGTTATAAATAAAATAAAAAGAGTCTAATTTTAAAATTCATTTTATGTTTTTTTCCTTCAAAAATATACCTTACTCCATAAATTATGACGCGGTTTTCTTCTGTATAGCTATACTTTAGATTCCTTTAACCTAACTCATATAACCAAATAATATCATTCTAACAAAACTAAAGAAATTTGCATCACAACCTTAACTGAAAAGCTTTCGTACTTTACACCTTTCTCTACTAAACTGACTCCAAAATGCAAGTTTAACTACACACATGGCGTGTTTAGCGTTAAGTTTTAGAAAGTCTTAATTATACATAGACGAATTATTTGCTTGATTGGGCAGTAGAGTGCCTGTACACGGTTTTTGTTATCTGGTAGACAGATTGAAAACCAGCCAGTTTTATTCCTTTATTTCGTTAAACGGACGAGTGGCGTGCCCGCCTGTTCCATCCCACCGAACCGGCCGCACCTAAATAGAAACCACAGGGACATTGCTCCCTAGCAATGCCGATCCTGCATATCTCGACTCCGAAGTTAGTGTCTTTAGACCTGTAATGATTCGCCCAAATTAAATCCAAATACGGAGGTCCTCACATGATAATAATACTTTATCCTGTACGAGCATGACTGAAACGTGCTACTTTTATCTATTGTTTTTATTGGAAAACGTCCACGAGTATGTTATACAGTTGGCTATTTAACCTTGATAAATCGATTAAAAAAATACATCTTGCCAGTTGCCATTAACACGTTTATACAAACAGCGGGTGTTGTTCCGAGTAATAAAATGGAACCTCGAGTTCGTACGAGCCAAGTCTTTCTAGACCCACATAAAAAAACATATTGCTATCCCTTGATTGGATAAGTATATGATCAACTACATTTATCCTATCAATTTGCTGTGATTGATTTAGTGAAACCTATTATTCATTTTATTGATGTGTTTCGTCGTGCCAGCACGGTTAACCGACAGCAAACCTTCCAATTCAATATTTATGTAGACTATATTATTGTGCCAACACCTATAACATTGTATTTAATTCTGCGCTAAAATTACGTAGTCAAATACTTTAAATAATTCCTTAAACTTTTTTCTTCTTTATCATAATACTTAGATAGACGCATGATGAGACACTTGTGTCAAATTCTTTATTGTATTCTTTATTCAATTGTAGTTGAGGTTGCTCATCAGAGTATCTTGTTCCGTATCATGTCATCGCTGTTGGCTCGAGAAATGGCGAAGAGTCTGATTAAGAATTCAGTCATGGAAGATACAAACAAGTGACGACGCCACTCTCCGCATGTCTGACGCTATCTACTAGTTTTATTTTCAATTTTATTTGTGTCGTGCTATTTCTGAGCAGAACCTGCGGCACTTGTCTCATACAGGGAGCCGTTTATACGAGGATGGCCCACGCGGCCTGTTCACTCACTGTTATATTTTCGTAAATACTTGACTGAGAATTCATAATAACTGTTATGGAATGCTCATACAGGAAATCTTAGCAATATTAAAATTCCTTTAACGTTTTGTTGTAAACAGATTGATGAGAGATGAATAGATGTTAATACATAGCATACGATCGAACAAAACAAATACTATTTGTGTCATTCTTTTTAAATTTGTAAGAAGTTCTACAACAATTTATTGACAGCACGAGGAGTAATGCTCAAACTTCTGCGGCGCCAACATTGGCCCACGTGCCAACAATACCTACGCAGGCAACTAGGAACACATAGTTCGTCACACAAACATCATGGAATTGCGCATTTCCTTGGTCGCCTACAGATTAAAGCAACATAAATTAACTAACCAAAATATCATATTTACGTAAGTCAGTCAGCCTTCAAAAACGACGATTTCCAGTATTTTCAGTTATATTATATTACGCTGTTGGCACCCAAAATGGGTGGAAAAGGGTGATTATATTCACGCGCTGTAAGCAAGATATAGATTTACTTCATTAATTTAATCACAAAATATAAATATTCGAACGTCATAAATATTTTACACAGATCTTTTGGCTTTGACGTAGTTGACATTATTATTCGTATTGAAATGAAGAGCATTGTTCTCGCGTAAAGAAAATAACAGTTGGAGTTAGAAAATTTTAAATTAATAACTTTTGCCTGAGATATTAATTAAATTCAAATATAAATTGAATCAAGCATAACCATGAATGTAACCAAAATATGCACCATTCGACGAGACAGATTCTTTTAAAATCTTTTCGTTTTTGATACAAATATTTTACAATGATGAAGTATAATTCAACTTGCCGTAAATTACACTTGAACCTAATTTATATCGCGCAGAGCCACATGCGAAGTTTATATTATAAACAGAACTCGTTAGTCGTAGTTAGTTGAACTTGACCATCGCGAGGCGGTGCCAAATGACAGCATATTAAATTGGTGCACTTATTAATGATGTGATTTATTTGCAGATAAAGCATGGGTGACTCTGGCCACCAACGATTCCTACGGCCTTGGGGCTTTGGTGCTGGCGCACTCATTGCGCCGTGCTGGCTCCATCTACCCTGCTGCGGTGCTCATCACACCGTCAGTCACTGAGGCCATGAGGTTAATACTAACTTTGAACCTTTCAGTATATTATATTGACTGGCTGATCATTGAAATATCCTTCTCACGATTCGCATCTTCCTTTATCATGCGTACCGCTAGGGAATGGAACTCCCTTCCTGCGTCTGTATACCCGATACATATTCAGAGTAGATAAACATTATTTGAGCTTGCGTGCTCCAGCTTAGACCACATCGTTGCATAACATCAGGTGCGATAGTGGTCAAATACACTAAAAAAAACTATAGGTATCTTCTATTCTCGCAATTTTGATTAAGCGTGCAGAATGATCTTTGTATTCATTAGCATACTTTTCCCCTGTCTGAGCATCAAAGTTGCAGCTTGTAAGTAAAAAATGTATCCACTTCCATACTTTAGCGTTACTATATTTGGCATTGCTTGGGTCAAAGATGTTGTCAGGAAACAATAGTGACAGTTTTCCAGGTTATCGTTGACAATAGTTTTGGAAAATACCCTGTCTGCAGATCGGATTTTGCTATTTGCACTAAAAACTCTTTCATTCACTCTCAGTAAAGCATTCCTATGCACAATCAACAAAATAACTAGTTTTCACTGAAATTAAGGTATTAATTGGTTGCTACCAGCGGAGATGAGTCTACTCTTGCTACATTGGGTACTATTAATTGTTGTTCTTAACTTTAATCGTTTTTTTATGCCTGAACAGTAGGACACGGCATTCCTAAACTTTGTTAAACCAGTTTTTTTTATATTTTTTTTATTTTATAGTCATATTTTTTATGTTGACATATTGAAGTATTTTTTTTTTATTTGACGACTCTGTATATAATACAGGGAGAACAAAACAGCCCTTGTTGAGTTTCTTGCTGGTTCTTCTCAGTACAAGGTCTCCCGCCGCAGATTTGCGAACCGATGGCATAGCTTTTCGACATTCACAAGTGCTTGTAACAGCCTAGACTGAATAAACGATATTGATTTTGATGTTTGCAAGTGCAAAAAGCTGCTTGAATACCTAAGAAAGGTATCTACCTAAAAATTTCCCGTGCAGAGTGCAGTTGTAGCACATATTTTCATTGCTTTACAATTTACAAATAACTTTACATCTGCAATAGGACAATTTTATATTTTGTTTGCGATTTATTCAAATCCAGGGTCGTACGATGACCTCTTGACGCCATCCAATAGTTGCGATCGAAGCGGGATGCCACTTCTCAATTAATATTATTTTGAGTCGTGTTAAGAATTCTTCGGTCAGAGTGCCAGAATATCTAGATATTATTTTTTTAAGATTCCAGTTTCTGTTTAAACTTTTTTTTGCCGACCCACCTTATGTAACGCAGGAATCAAGTCCAGGAGTCCAGATCTATTACTCGTAAATGGATGATGTGATCTGTGATGTTCAGTTGCGAGGATGTGAATAAAGTAGAAAACCTTGCCGATCCAACTAGACCCATTTGTTTTAACCGGGCTGAACTCAATTCTATAGTGATTACAATTTGATCTACAGAGAGCGCCTTCGCGCGGTATTTGCTGAGGTGGTGGTAGTGGACGTATTGGACTCAAAGGACGCTGCGCACCTTGCACTGCTGCAGAGGCCTGAGCTGGGCATCACCTTCACCAAAATTCACTGCTGGGGTCTAACTCAGTATGAGAAATGCGTGTTCCTTGACGCCGACACATTGGTGAGCAAAAATATCATACTTAATTACCTACATTTACCATGGTCTATGTAAAAGATCACCGGTACTATTTTTTGTATTTTATTTTTATTGTTTGTTGTTGTAACGACAATAGAAATAAACACTATATGACAATTTTCATAGACCTTCTATTACGCTTCATAATAATGGGTTTTTATAAACTGAACCTACTAACGGGGTTCCATTCATACCCTTTAGATGCGTCAGTTAATCATTAATTTTAAATTAAATTAATAATCGTAGTGCGAAAAATAACAAATGATTTGATAACGTAGAAAAGAATCGAAGGAAGGAAACATTCGTACAAGTCTTACGTAACTTTTGTAATGATTATCTTAAAGCCTACGTAAATAATCTAAAGAATTTTCGTTGTCATACTTGTACATAAAGATATGTATTGAAATACGATTTAAGGAACCGTATGTACATAGTAAAAATTATCTTGCATCGGACACGTGCTGGCAATATTCGAAAAAATATTGCGCCATATCGAATTGTTCCGCCTTGCCATTGTGTCGTCAAAGGAGTGTCAAAGTAATGAACTTCCTTGGAACATATTCGCAACAAGATATTCGACTATTATGTGCGAGACGTTACGTTTGTAATGTCTACGCTGATAATTGTCTTCTTTATTTAAAGAAGTTCAAGCTTCTATCTTCTATATATCTATTCTACCCTTAGTAATGGAATTGCCTTTAAAGTGGTACATTAATTTTGTTAGAAAGTATAAAGAAAAGCAAGTAGTTAAATTTTGAGTCTTCAAACAGCACTTTCGACAAGCATGAGCATTAGATAGCCACAAGTAGTACAAGAACAAACAAGCTAGAGAAAATGCAAAGTAAATCGCGCGAGTTTCGCTTGTACAAACAGCGATCGATCAATAAACGGTGTTTTGTCATAAAAAAATCTATTTCGATCGCCTATTGTTTATGCTGCGAGAAAGTCAATGTTACCGGATGTAGACTTTAAAACAGTAACACGAGATGACGGGACGCATAACCGTGGCCTAAATACCTTATTCCCGTGAATTTTGGACCTGCTCCAAATATACACTTTTTCATTATGTTGTAGTCTTTCGAACGTGAAGACATAAATGTTGTAATCATTAAACTACACTTTCTCATTTTATATGTAGTCCCAATTAATATAGTTTTTATTCGTATCATATTACTGACATCTACTGTAAATTAATTCTTAAATTGGACTCAACAAAAAACATTGAGATCTTAATTCATAGAGTTACAGTACGTTTTTTTATCACAGGTTATTGTGTCAACTGAGATAAGAAACTGTTCATTTAATGTTTTAAAAATTTCGTTAAACTGTACTTACGTGCATTTACCTAATTTCGGTTAATTGAATGATTAAGATATTGTTCTTGAACTTCTATTTCGGTAAAAGTGCTATTCACATTATCTTATTATTACCGAACATTCTTTGCCTACTGACATCGTGTTGCGAGAGTTATCTAATCTATAAACACGAGCATTATAAAAATAAACTGCGTGAATTGTATGGGTCACGTCTGCGAATCGTGGAATACTATCCGTTTATAGAGCCACTGTCAATGACCACCAACTGTGTATGAAATTTATATAAGAATAACATAATGGTTACCTACCTAATTGATAAATTAAAAGGAAGATATAAACTTCATTGGAGAAACATTTGTCTTTATGCCAGAAGTAGTATGTAATAACGGTACTATATGATACTTAACGATTAATATCAATGTTCATGTTATAATACATCTTGTAATGATTTTACAAAAAATCAGCAATTCGTCAAATTGTTTTTACAGGTAGTTCAAAATTGTGACGAGTTGTTTGAAAGGGAAGAGTTGTCAGCGGCGCCTGATGTAGGCTGGCCGGATTGCTTCAACTCTGGTGTATTCGTATACAAGCCCTCGCAAGAGACCTTGGAACAGCTTATCAAATTCGCGCAAGAACGCGGCAGCTTCGATGGTGAGTGTTTTAAGATTATTCGTTATCATGCAACTGTTGCTCCCAATTAACAGGATTCCGCGTGGGTGTTCGTTTACAGGCTATTTATTTTCAATGTTTTTAAACGCGCATCTTCAAGAATTTTCACGTCAATGAAGTTAAGCTCAAATTATGTCACGGATGTCGAAAAAAGGTTATACCTTGTTTTAATCAATGAATTCAACACACAAAAAGTGTTGATATTTATAATTCTCAAGAAAAAAGCCTACACGCGATGCAATATGAAAACCAGCAAAAATCTTAGAACAAACAGTGTTACGCTCGTGTGGTTTTCGATAGATATTTTGCGTTAGATTTTTTCACTTTCTAATGAAATATGTGACAAAAAGTTATGCCTAATATTGAACTGTTCTGTAAACCAATCAGTTTCGTATTATTTCTTTATAATATTTTTACATTTGTTGTACGTTTTATTGATATGGATATTACGTTTTCATTAGGTGGTGACCAAGGCCTCCTCAATTCCTTCTTTTCCGACTGGGCACGTGGCGATATCAATAAGCATCTGCCATTCCTGTACAATGTTACATCGGCAGCATTCTATTCTTATATTCCCGCTCTGAAACAGTAAGTTTTGAATATATTATTTTTATTTTATTTAAATTAAATCATATTTGTGGACTTTAGCCAAACTATCGATTCATATTTTCTTACTATAATTTTATTGGTCCTTCGAGCAGACTGCGTCATCATAATACGGATTTTTTTCCAGCTACGGACAAAACTTAAAGATCATCCATTTTATCGGTGCGACTAAGCCATGGTTACAAAAGTTCAATTGGGAATCTCGCTCAGTAGATGCACCTGAGCACCTTCGGGAATTCCTACAACTCTGGTGGGACCTTTTCGTTGGACAAGTCCATTCTGCGCTGGATGTTACTATGGTAAGGGGAGTGAAGTGTGTTATGTTTATATGGCTTGCGGATTACAATTAACCGGAGTCGTTTTTAATTTTACAAGTATTGCCATTAAAACTGGAAAGCTATCTCTTTAACGGCATTGGTTATGTTATGATTTTGCAATTCCTGAAATTAGACTAAAAGATTTTTCTGAGTTCTCAAATCGCATAGCATCAATATCAAACTCGTTTAGATATATGATGGAAGATATGAAAAAATACGAATGCGTAATTTTAATAAATACTTACTAACATGAATAGGACATTGATCTAAATACATAGACGGATATCGATTCCAATATCGAATATCATCATGCAATGTGATATTCAGCAATGCGGTTTCTTGACCAGAACCGCAATATGTCTGGTATACAACATACCCAGTAAACCGATCCATTCCTATTGCAACCGTTGATCTGATCACAACTCGTCATGTTTTCCAAGCGTACACAACAGGATTCTAAAATTTCAGAGGTGAGAATTTTCAAGAATAATAGATTGATAGCTTCAATATTTACTTTGCAAACTAAAAGCAACGCTGCCAATTATAAAATGTATGAACATAATTATGGCTTGTATATCCCTTGAGTGAACCTCCAGTGAATAAACAGTAACGCTTGTATTTGATGCCTGTGCACTCCAGCTATTTTTCGCACCTTTCATTTTGATACTTGTGTGATTAAAACGTTTCTCCAAAATACTAACATTTTCTAACTTTGTATTTTTTTGTGGCTATATACATATACATTATCATGGTTGCTTACTGCACGGTTTGGTAAATGTTTTGTTTCTGGGAGTAGATAGACGGTGTTGGTATTTTGGTGGAATATCACCGCGTTACTTAAAATAAACATACTTTTAATAATTCTTATTATCTTTCAATTAAAATCAAAACATGATAAAAAAAGGAAGTCAATTAACATTTAATCATTTGTATGTTTATTTTGTAACTTATTTACTTATATAGAAAACTTGTCGTAAATATACCATACTAATAGAATTTTGAACAAAGTTTTTTGCACTCGTTTACACCCGTGCTCGAAGCTTAGTTCAAGTGTTTGTCTGCATGCATTTCCACTGAGACGTTTTGTCACTTCAACCGATAGGTTGAGGTACCAGATGCCCCCCCGGCGTTACCGCCGCCCGACGTCACTCAACATTACGCGCCCGTTCTGGACCCAGAATCTGAATTCCCCTGGCATCATCCCGATGCCCAAAAACAAGAGGACCATCAGAATCCCGAAGTAGATTTGACGGAATTCCATGACCCTTGGGCTATCTACGGTGGACAAATACCTTCTTACAAGGAAGAAGTATCTCAACACACTTTATCAGGCAGAGTAGAAGATCATGAAGAAATGAAAAAATACGCATGGGATTACCAACCTCCCAGTCAAGATTATGGATCGAAAACGTTCTCTCACAAATCCGGAAGCCATCACGATCATCAACATTGGCATACGTATCAACATATTGATCACAGTCATCAGGAAACTCAGAGTCAACATCATCCCCCGGAACAAAGTCATTGGGAAGCACAATCGCAGCACAGCCATGAACAGGTTCACGATCACACTTCATTTAACTATCATCAGTATCCGCATGATTATCACCAACAATCTTATGACCATCACCAACATTCTAATGATCATCACCAATATCACCAACATTCGCATGAGCAAACAGATCACCCACATGAACATAGTACACATTCACATGAACCATTTCAACATACACAAGAACATTATCATCACACCAAAGAACATGACTATCATTCGCAACAACAGGGACATCAACATCACGAAGATCACTCAAGCCAATATTATCACGATAACAAGCAAGAATATTTCGATCAAGGCCATATCCATCATCCTCACCATGATCATCAGCCCGTGCATGATCATTTAGACCCATCAGAGAAGCAACGTTCGCACGAATCCAATTATAAAAAACTAGAATTGTCAGAATCAATTTCACATAACAGAAATAATGTGCATAGAATACATCACGTGCATTTACATCATTATAAAGTGCCAGATCATGTAAAACACAAAGAAGATGAAAACAAAAATCCTCCAAATGAAATTGAAGTAATGAATGGGGATGTGTCTGAAAATGAAAACGATTATCACGAAGATGTAAGGCCAATACACCCTTACGATGGTTTCTATTTGAAGCACAGACCTATTATAGACTCATATGGTCGTAAGATTTGCACTCATGAAATACCTCTAAAAGCCAAGGAGAGTAAGCCACAACAAAATGAATGCGAAGAAGATACACCTATCTCACTCCCTGAAGAAATTCCTCTCACTAACGGCCAATGTGAGGAACAAGTAAGTTTCACTGCATATGGGACAGTGGTAAGTGTACCTACATAAAACGATCTCATTAAATTACGATTACATAAACGTTTTTTTTTATTTTACATTTGATTTGACAATCCAGTTAGAGGATTGTAATAAATTTAATGTATAGCTTCTTGAGCATGTCAAGTCTTAATGCATGTTTGTATAGTTATTATTTCTTATAGAAATAATTAAAAGCCCCAGTCAGAGACTTACGTTTAATATATAGTTGATCCTCACACTTACTTTGCTATCGGCATAGAATAAGACGAAACTCTTAACTTTGACAACTACTAAATTTAATTGAAGTCTCTGATTTCGGCCGATTGATTCTCCTACTAATATTTATCCCAGAAAATTATGTAAATAAGTAGATAAGGATTAGTAAAATCCGGTAGAAGTACTCTCTTAATAAAAGTATTAAAGTAGGCACTTTTAGTTTAAATGGTTTAGCTTTCAGATTTTTGTGACTTTATTAATTTCTTCGTTTCATTATTAAAAACAGAAGAAGACACTTATTAAAATTTTATGTTGTTCATAGAGCTCCCTGATAACATTATATTTAAAATTTTAGTTTAATTAAATCTCCAATTGGCTGTTAGCATGTTTAATAATGTTCTCTGTTTTGAGCGTTACCTTTTACTCTTTACCTATTAGTATTATAGACATCAATAATTCTTTACAGAGTGGAGTGGCCGGCAACTTGGCTCGAGTCGTTCCCGGTGCTGCCAGTTTCGAAGCTTTGGACGAGCTCACCCGTCGCCAAGGTTGGGAAGCGGGCAACATCGACTATATGGGTGCTGATTCATTCGACAATATCTGGGCTAAGATCTCGCAGACCCTTAGCAAACCTAGGGTGTCGCCGCCTAAACAACCGTCTCCGCCTAAAGAACCATCGCCGCCTAAACAATCTTCGCCACCTAAAGAACCATCGCCACCTAAAGAACCATCGCCGCCTAAACAACCTTCACCACCTAAAGAAGTACCTGTGGAGGTAGCACAAGATGCGACTGTTATTGATGCGCCAGCAGTAGCTGAAGTAAAACCAGAAAGTGCACCGGCAGTAGTAAAAGATGCTGCTCAGGTAGAGGTTACACCAGCGCCAGTCGAAGCTGCACCAGTGCCAGTAGAGGCGGCACCAGTGCCAGTTGTAACAAAACCGGCGCCAGTTAAATCTGCACCAGCGCCAGTTGAATCTGCAACGGTGCCAGTTAAAGCTGCAGCGCCAATGGAAGTTGTACCAGCGCCCACTGAGGTAGCACCAGTTGAAGCTTCACCAGTGCCAGCTGGGGCAGCAACAGTAACAACTGAAGTATCGACTACTACGGCACCAAAATCCGTAGAGGCAGCTCCTACTCAAGTTAAAAAAGCGCCAGCTCCTGTTGAAGCAATGAAATCTGTCGAAAAAGCGCCAGTGGCTTCAAAGCCTGAACCAGTTCCTACTCCACTTGAATCAGCACCAGCTCCTCAAATAGAACCAGTCGTAGTTGCAAAAGCCCCAGAGGCTCCAAAGGCTCCAGAACCAGAAATTCCTACCACAGTTAAAGCTGCAAGCGAATCCAAACCGACTGAAATCCCAGCCTCAGTTAAAGTGATCGCTGCGGCCCCCCAGGAACCAATAGAAATACCCGCAGCAGTAGAAGCTAGCGCCGCAGGTGAGCCACCTAAAAAGGAGACTTCAAAGACTGCGCCCGCTTTACCGCTCACACCGCCGGATTCACCGAAATCCAAAGAAAAAGCCGCGCCATTGAAAGCTGCGAAAGCAACAGCGAGTCCTGTTGCCCCCTTACCGGTGACAACTCCCGAGAAATCCTCTGAAGCCACAGTTTGCTCTGACAGTCCGCCTTTAGCCAACACACCATCCAAAGACGAAGCCCCCACGCTGCCCGCTGCCAAATGTAAGTAGCCGTTTGAGAATAACGGCGGAACAAAACAGGCGACGTTTAACGGCTTTGCATTTAGATCTCACCGAGTTAATTTTGCAGTTATCTCTCTCTCTTAGTTTTTCTCTATTACTAATGTGTTTCATAATAGTGTTAGCTGCATCTGTTTTACGCAATGTTTTACGTGGTTACTTGATTTGAGAAGCGTAAAGCGCGATGTTTTTCTTTTGTGCCGTTTGCTATGTTTTGGTTTTATTATTTTAATTTACTGAGCCATATACAGTTTCAAAGTTCGTTTATTTCACCCAGCTACCGAGGAGGCAGCGCAAGAGACGCGGCTTTGATAGATCAGGTAATAATAACAAAACTTGTGCTTGGACATACCTGGACCTCCAATAATATAATTTTTGAAAATATTTATTTCGTCCATGTTCTTTTATTTAACGAAGAGGTCAAGTTACGTCCAAGTTAAAATGTAACAGATTCCTCCATATATGATCAGTAATTCTCATCTCCACCCGTAAAGTCAAACGATACCAGCGACTATACCAAATGATCAGCTAAGTAGTTTATGTCAAAGCCGTCGGATCTGCTCTGATTATACTTATAAAGAGTAGGTACACTTACATTATTAATTATTTCGTTAATAAAATAAAATATGAAATAATTTTAATAAGTTCAAAATTTGGCTGCTAAATTCAGAGCATAAACGATTGCGCATGATATGTGATGCACTTTGTCGAGAATGTTGCAATTTGGTCTATCACATTTTTACTAAATTGCAATATTAACATAACATTTTGATTTTATTTGCTTCACATTTGTGTCACACATTGCAAGGAACATTATTTAAAACTTACCCCTCCATTACGTGTACATTGTATTCCAAGTTTCTTCCACATACCTTCGTAAATACTTTATAAACAAATCGTAGAGCTAATTCACAAAATAGTCTACCCCCGAGTCGGATGCACCGTTACCACCATAATAATACTCCTTGTTATGTGCACTCGGCTTCGAAGCTCCGCCAAACTGACATATCTAACTTTCCGCTCGCACTGTTTCAGTATTAACCAAGTAGCCGTGTTTTCCCTCGACTTTGTTCCAGGCCCTAACCGAGCTTGCTCACTAATGTGATCGCCATACTAACGCCACGTCTATAATCGAACGAGAGAAATAAGGGCGGGATTAAATTGGTTGTGTAGCGGAGGAGCGTCGCAAGGGTGGCGGGTGCAAGTTGCGGCTGAAGCCGAGCCCTGCCGCCCAGCCCCTGCCTACCCCCGACAGCGAAGTGGAAGACGCCGCCTCACTCGCCACCTCCATCATCGCCAGCGAGCTGCGAACTCCGACTGTCACCTCGCCCGCTTCCGAACTGGAATCCACTTCCCCGCCGGCGCCGCTACAATCGCAACGCCTCTCGGTCGACGAGCCTGAAGTGCCTACGCCCCCAGTAGGCTCTGTATCGCTCTCACAAATAGGCGTCAAAACACCCAAACCGAAATCAAGCACCGCGGCACAAATAGAATCCTCAGTGACGGAGAAAGCGCCCAACGAACCCGCCACACCGACAGAAGCCGCTCCCAAGAAGAAAGTTATAGTAAGGAGAGTGGTGAAAAAAGACAAGGAGGGTACGTCGTCTGCGGAGGCGCCAGTGCCGCCGCCGCGCAAAAAGGAGAAGAAGCCCAAAGAGTGAGCTCGCGGCTTGCTCCCATATAGTTCCTCTGTGCCATAATGTAGCCTTTTCTTATCTTTATGTTTATATAATTTTCAAATACTTAAAAATATGTTATATGCTTTTGTGTATCGCGCAATCTTTACGATGTTAGACTTAATAAATCATTTTACTCGTCATCACACGTCCATTATAAATTATAATTCATTACCGTTATAAATTTTACACTCTTTTTTATTTGTTACTAAATTGTTTTGTATTTACAACTATTTATTTTTTAAAAGTTAAAATATTATATTGGTTTTAATTTGAATTACCAAAGGATTAAAACGTATTTATTGAAAGAAAGTTTTTTATGTAATTTTATATTAAAACATATTTTAAATTAGCCATTGATTGTTTCAATTAACTAGGTGCTTAGTTTATTTTATTGTTATGTTAAGCAATAAACTGCTAGATTTCCAAATTAAAACAAAAAACCTATACCACAAAAATCCACTCGGTCAGATATTAGACAGGACTCGCAGGACTAGAACTTGCACCTTCGGATATATTTTTTAAATGGCAACTTTTATGAAATCTTCAAAATTTGTTCATCTTTAGCATGCCGCATGGTATGGCATCGATGATTCAGTCATAGGGTGCGGCCAGAGTGCACTCAGATTCAGATTCTGAAAACAAGCGCGAGAAATAAACAGTGTAGTCTAAGCAGGTTGCCTGCTTTTTCTCGCGCTTTGTTTTCTTTGTCTGAATCTGAATCAGGAGTGCACTCTGGCCGTACCCTTCGACTACACTGTTTATTTCTTGCGCTTGTTTTCAGAATCTGAATCTGAATCTGAGTGCACTCTGGCCGTACCCATAGGGTGCGGCCAGAGTGCACTCAGATTCAGAGTCAGATTCAGATTCTGAAAACAAGCGCGAGAAATAAACAGTGTAGTCTAAGCAGGTTGCCTGCTTTTTCTCGCGCTTTGTTTTCTGAGTCTGAATCTGAATCTGAATCAGGAGTGCAATCTGGCCGTACCCTTCGACTACACTGTTTATTTCTCGCGTTTGTTTTCGAAATCTGAATCTGAATCTGAATCTGAGTGCACTCTGGCCGCACCCATAGAAAGTTCGCCTGCCACCCGGGCGGCCTGGGCACAGAATATATACACTACGCGAAAAGAAGCGACCCTTAGGGTGAAGCCAAACGAGCGTAATTTTGTGAGTTGTGAGTCGCTTATTTTCGGTCACTTATTTTACGTTCAACTGAATTTCTGTTGAGCTGCCATACGAACGTAATTTATTCAGTTACTATTGAGCGTTAGTAAGGGGTGTTCGTGTCGTCGAGTGCAAAGGATCCATTAAAAATATTATGTATTTACGAAGCATATTCAGAAGATGAGGCCAGAAAAAGAAACTGGGTAAACCCACTGAACAATCAGAGGCTAATATGTGGAAAGGTCCATGCTTTATATGAACGTTTATGTGCAAATCCAGATATGTTTGAAAAGTACTATCATATGCCATTACGTGTTTTTCAAGAATTATTACACCACGCAACTTGTAACAAACTGTTGCTTCCCCACTCCCCTTCCTTGCCCTACCCTCACCCCGACCGAAATTCGGACGAGCTTATGCGCATTGAGTCGGCAGACAACTCATTTTGCGTTGTCGGGTGGCACCAACTGCCTTTTTGTATGAAACCGAATGCAGCAGAATTTCTGCGACCGAAATTCTGCGCCTCATCACTCACAAAATTACGCTCGTTTGGCCTCACCCTTAAGCATGTGTGCTCGTAAAATCGCCCGCGGCTATGTGTGGGTGTCTGGAGGTGTGCCCCCGCACACGTAATAATTATTACCGTGGCGGGGGCGTTGCGCGGCGCGCGGGACGTGGAGAGGGCAGTCGCCGACTGCCTCGACCGAAGGGATGGCAGTAGCGAAATAGTAAAATAATAGCGTTGCACTGCATTGCACGCACAGACTACGCTACGCATTCTTATTATTATTTAGATAATAATAAGAATTATAAAACGAATTGAAAAAGGAGAAAATATATAAAAGTTAGCAATTTGTTATAGTACCTACATTAAAAGATTAAAAATTGATTATAAAATCAAACCTATCCTTCATTATTTACCCACTGGGGTAAGGATACTGATCCTTGAATCAGTTTACATTTAATAACTTACTATGCATAAATATTCATTGGCACAAGTCTAAATTCCAAGTTCAACCCTAGCGCATACACGCTCCTGCATAAGGTCACTGACGCTGGAACTCTCACGTACAAAGAGTGTCACCGCTGGCCTGGGTTCGAATCCCAGCTGAGGAGGTAATTTTTCCATTTTAAAAGTAAAACTTTTATTACAGCGCCCCAAATTTTTTCTTTCAGCTTTAACATGTCGCGTTACATTGTTATTAAAAAAATTCAGACCTTCAAGCATTGGTGGTTCTGTGATAGAAAGCTCGCGGGTTCAATTAAAAATAATAAAGTCAAGTCAAAGTATCATGAAGTACATAGGTCACTCACCTTCTCAGGTACCTTTAAACACAGAGAGAGAAAGAGGTAAGTTAGTATCGAGTAAAATCGACGGCCTCCGTGACAGAGTGGTATGTACTGCGGGTTTCTAGGTGTCACCTTCTCAGAATTCTTGGGTTCGAATCCCGGTGAAGCAAATGTTAGTATGACAAATGCGAACATTTGTACGTAAGTCATCGATGATTAACAAATAAAAACCTCACTTTCAACGCGAATGATAGTGAGTGAAGTACGTCGTAGGCTTCATACGATACTAAATAATGGTAGGCAGTTTGATCCGGATTTGTATTTTTTTTATAGGAACAGTGTTTTTGAAACCATATTAAATTTTATCAATCAACCTTGGATTTCATTCACTTGGTACAGAAACACTTGACTTTTTGATCCGAATTCAAGTTATAAATCAAAATTAAAAGTTTACCCTACAGCGCCCTTTTGCTGATTTAAAAAAAAAAAGGAAATGAAGTTAATACCTTTTGTGTCTTGTTTGAAAGCCTATGAAACTAGTGTCATTTTACTAATTTGTAAGCCGAATTCCATACAGTAATTTTCCAATAATTTACGGCGAAGTTCGGGGAAAAAATAAAAAATATTATTACTGCAGTCCTTTTATTTCTGTGATCGTGCAAGTTTTGGCAAGCGCTTTTTTTAAATGATCACTAATGTTTCAGCTTTTAGAAAAGTATCAATTCAATGTTCAGAATGGAGTAGTTTACTCAGAAAAGAGTCAGAAACTTTCTAAATTTTTTTATGAACCATCGCAACTCGGTAACCATCCAATTTTGACTCCTAGTTCACTGGACTTAATTTGTTGTTGATGACCTCTAGTATAACCCTGTATATTACTAGATAAAACTACAGGTGTGTATCATTAGTATACATGTATTCCATCCGTTAACTTAGTATCCATAACACAAGCCACAATACAGTGCTTACTTTGGGGTATAGGCTAATTGATGTGAGTGTTAGGTAATATTAATTGATTAATAATAAATTATGGTATGGCCGTAGAATGACGAAAAATACAACGATTCCAAAGCATTTATTTATCTTTACATTTCTGTGAAAACAATATTTGATTTTATCAAGCAAGGATTACCTATATGAAAGTGATAGGGCACATTACTGTGCTTGGTTAAATATTACATAATTCGTTTATTTATTATGAAAAATAACCATGGAAGTGATATCGAAAGCGGGTTGATTTATTGGCAAAAAATAAAAGTATAAAGGTCATAACTCATTAGACCCACCAAGCACATCTCACCGCCTACTTTGCCTCAACTCGTTCGGTTGATAGGTATTACATATTTGTTAGAATTTCTATGCAGTGGCGGGGCGTTTCACATGTCGGTCGGCGTATCACTGGTTGACAACGAGGCGTCCACCCGAAGGTTAGCTGGTTGACAACGCAATGTCCACTTGAGTTTACTCGCCGACCACGAGTACGTCTGTACCCTTAGCACGAAACGAACCAATATCGAATTCGTAGGTAACGTTTGCGAGTCCAAAGTGTCATTGTCAAATATGTACTGATTTTTAGTTCTCGTTACGGACTGTGTGCCGCTGCTGTTCAAGTTTCCATACAAAATTTGACATTGAAATTTCGGTTTGCAAACTATTCGAATTCGATAATGGTTCGTGCTAGGGGTACTGTATTCGGCCAGTTTTCGTTTCGGTTACCCGACGCCATCTTCCAGCCCGAGTTCGAGTAAAAATAATGTAAATATTGCATCGGGTGGCCGAATTCGAGTATGTAACCTAATGTTTTTCGTTCACCCGAATATGGGCTAACGAACAAGTGTAAATACGTCTTAATGAGCTGTGATCTTAAGGTGTCGTACCACATTTTCTGCTTTGCGATCGTTAGTAACACAAATAAACATTAAAAACGTAAAAAAAAATTCACTCCCCGGCGGGGAATCGAACCCCGGTCTCCCGCGTGACAGGCGGGGATACTTACCACTATACTACCGAGGACATGACAATTATTAAGAAAATACTGCATAAAGTTATCAAATAAGTTTTATAATAGTCACAAGACTTTTATATAAGTTAATAATTACTAAAATCAAATTATTCTTACTAAAGTTTTTGATTTACTTTTGATTGTGTGCAAAGAATAAAATCAATTGAAATGGAACCTCGGAAGCGACATCTAGTTAAAGTACAATAAGACATATTTTACCTTGCCTAGATGCCGCTTCCACTATCTCTCCACTACAAATTCAAAAACGTATTATTAAATATTGTCATTAACCTATTTAATCTTACTATTTTCAAATTTCAGTTACAATTTTGGCTAAGTTGAAATAGGTTTATAATATCTATAAGAAAAATTTTGGTTTACATATATATAATGTCAGCGCCATCTAGCGAACAAGCAAATAGAGACAGTTCTAATGCCATGCTCACCGAAAGTACGGTTGATTGAGGATAGAGTGCGTGCGGAGAGCAAAATTGAGACGTTCGCGCGCGATACGTCCATGTGAAGCGAACGAATGAAACTAAAATCAAAGAGAGAGAGAGAACCAGTTTGACGACAACCACGTTGTGGAGTGGTCACGTCGCATTATTTCGTGTCGTAAAGTTTAGATTATCAATGTTTATAAACAGAAATCCCGATGTATCATAAAGTATTTAGTTCGCCAATAATTAAAAATCGTAAATAATTAGATATAGAGGCATTAAAGCCCGTGAATGTTTGGATTTTAAGTGGATTTGTACGTTTTATTCGAGTGTGTAATCTTGTATCGGAGTCGTCGGCGAGAACAGCATCGTTGGTTTTGTTGGACGGTGGAAGAAAATGTGAGACAAACACTATGATTATGAACTATCTGGACTGAAGTTTCCCGGGTTTGATGAACAACGGATTCAGTCAAGTGGAACAATGAGGTGGTTTGTGTTGATACTTTTGGTGCCGGTATGTTTTGCACACCTCAACGTATACCTGAGCAGTGCCGAGGTGTGGAGATTACTTGGTAAGTTTAATAATCTTAACTACCAAGTAGCTAGTCATGTCGTGTCCCTGTGGGAACCTAAATCTATTCCGAGTTCGAGCTATAACTTGTGGAACACAAACGTAGTTTACCTACGTTTGTGTTCCTAACTACTGTACTAATTTAAAGACCTTGCTTCCTATTGTCATTGTATCTAATCAATGCACTTATCACAATACGAAAACAGTTACACTGATAGTATTTAGGTAACACAGAAAAGATAGGAACTAAGTACCTAGCCAATTCACCAAAATCAACAGTCGGAGTTTATCCTTTTCTTTAGCTCACTTGCAAGTTATCAATATAAAATATTTAGAAGTCACTTTCCGTTAGTAGGTACCAACCTACTAACGGAAAGTGACTTCTAAATATTTTAAAATAGTAATAATCAATCCTACGGCAGTCAGGTGCTTAATTTTGATCTGAAAAGATACCTAAAACACAACTTCACCTATGCACACATACAGAATCCATGTAGGTAATTGTTGATTACAACAGACTAATTTTAACAAAATTATTCATCTATTATACTTACAACTTATTAAGCACTAATAAAAATATATACAAATCTTGGTTCTATTTAGCTTCAAACTATAACAAAACTGTTCCACTTAATTTAACAGAATTAATTACCTATAAGTTATCAAGTTGACTGACACAAAACATTATAATATTTTAAGAGAGTTGTTTCAAAAGAAATGTACTTACATAATAATTTTATTATCAGTAATCATTTACTTAAAAACAATTAGAAAAACATTCCTTCATGATAAAATAGCTAGTTTGCTTAATCTGATAGTGGCAAAATTAAGTCTTCAGGTTGAATCTTCAGTTTAACATGGTGTTTGTGACTGGCTGGAGAGCCGCCACAGCTTTTTTATATCCTTTTACTGTATGGTCTTTTATAATCCTTTTCTATCTAGATGTCACATACTGTCAATTGCTGGTGTCTTGTATTTTCTTTTGTTTCTTGCTGTGTACCTATATATCTTTATTATAATAAAATTTAAGTTATTCATCCACTAAATCGTCTTTATTATACCTTAGATAGAGCATATACCAAACCAATTTTCAGTTGACATTTTCCCTAGTTTTCACGTTTTTCACATGGATAATGACTTTTTGCTCATATCATTTTTGACTTTGAGAGATTTGATAGAATCATCTTCTTGGCCAATCTCATTATAAACTTCTATTTGGTAGTTGTCTCCGATTCTTATCACCAATACAAATACTTGCACACTATGTGAAAATTTTTCACTGTCCATGAATGAGATATATGTACTTGCAACCTGCTGAAAGATAAACAGACAGATTATCCAAGGTAACACTAACAATGAATAATATGAAAACAATTAACCTTTAACTTAAATTACCTAGTTCAAAACTTTAATTATATAAAATATTATAAATGCAAACAACACCTAGAATGCTGAAAAGATTATCATCTATACTAATATTCTGAAGAGTTTGTTTAAACGCCCTAATCTCAGGAAATACTGGTCCAAATATATATAATTTGAAAATATTTTATTTTGTTGGATCATGTAGGTTATATAACATAACGCTACGAATAAAAGGAGCTGAGCACCAATGAAAATGTTCCAAAAAATGTGAAATAATATTCCATTTCTGAGCTTCCGTTGCGTGCGCTACGCAAACGGTAAAAGTTACACAAAAATCATGTATAACGGATTGTTTCACTTTTTATGTTCTATAAAAAAGTCCGGTACATCATTCTTTTAAGGGTGACCCAGTAGAACCTTTTCCCTAAATAAATGCGGGTGAAACCTCAGGGCACCTCTGTAGTTTATAACCTGGATTGAGACATACGATACTTTTTATCCCGGAAAATGTCAGGTTCTTGTGGGATTCTCAAAAACTTAAGTAAACGTGGACGAAGTTGCGGGCGGCGGCTAGCATCGTAGTTCACACTTTATTCATCACAAGCGGCCCGCCCTCGCTTCGCTTCGGTGTAGAGCTGAAGTGTAGACTACAGTTTTTGTTCTCAGGCTTGTATTATACACAATGACATTCATCTATGATTCTTCTTATACCTGCATGCAAAGTCTCAGCCCGATCGGTTTAAAATTGACAAAATTTCATACAAACTTTCATTCCCTATTTTATCCCCTTGGGGGTAGAATTGATCATAATACTTTCTTAGCGGATGCCCACGTCATAACATCTACCTGCATGCCAAATTTCAGGCCGATCCGTCTAGTGGTTTGGGCTGTGCGTTGATAGATCACTATGTTAGTCAGTCAGTCACCTTTCGGTTTTATATATATAGATTATAGATAGATTAAGTGTGAACTGGAGGATCAAATTCTGTATGGGAAAGCAATTATTCCTCACAGACGAAATCTCGTGCCTATTAATCATAAGTCACATTCTAAGTCTGTCCTTGGATTTAAATGCTTGGATAAGCCTGCGTGGTCTTTATCTACTCTATACTATGAAAAATCAAATCTTCTACACAATAACGTTTTCGTCCAGTCCAGATTCAACATTATCTCTTTCAAATTATTCGACTATCCTCTTTTATACATAATGCCGACCAATTGGGATGGGACATTCCCTTCCGAATTTCTGATATAATATATTTTACACTAAATTTTCATTATACCATTATAAGCATCATCTTTCTAAATAATACTACAAATTATAGTAAAAGGCAAAACACTAACGAGATTTAATTAAAAAATAAAGTACCGCTAGCTTGTCAAGAACCATTCTTCAACACTTTTCTTTGTAAAATGGTACAAAAGCCGTAATCCTGCACAGTATTAATTAGCCGAAAGTCACAACTAAATCCTTACAGCCGTCACATTTCTTCGGAATTAAGCCCAAGTGACAGATTTGAAAGGGCCCGTGCGCCGGCGCAGGTAGGTTAAGCTTTTAGATGTAACGCTCTTTTCAGTAAATGCGTTTTTGTGTCCTTTTCCTATTGTGCGTACCTGCAGTCAGCGTGCTATCCATCTTTGTCACCAAGCGAGCCATCTGCCCATTGTTCTTGCTTAAAATTAGAATTATAATAAACAAAGTGTAACAATATAAGGGTATCGGGACTCATCCTTAACGTAGGGACACGATATCGAATAGAAAGTATCGATACTGTACTCATGAGTAGTATCGGTAAAAAAGTATCGTACTCGTAAAAGTATCGAAACAAAAGTATCGATACTTCAAAGTATCGAGTACATTTCATAGGGCCTTATCGGATCCTCTGTGGCCTGATGAGCAACCCCCCCCCCCCCCCCCCCCCCGGTTAAAAATTGAAAGAAAAACAATCCAATTTTATTATAGTACGTATAATAACAGTAAAAGGACATATAAATTCACAAATTGCTATATTATATAATGAAAAGAAAATAGCTGTGATATCTGACACTTAAAAAGTGTTCATTAATATCACATTAATAATTAAAATGTTACTTGAATCTGACACGCAGTTAACGGCGGCCATTGGCATGCTTCACTCAATATTATAATTATAGAAGAGGTTACGTCCGTTTTTTTTTCAGATCCGTGGTTTCAAATAGGTATACACAGCACAGACAGAATAATAGTGTTACACTTGAATACATTTTTTTTTTTTTTTATAGTTAGGTCCGACAAATGACTCCACCCCACCTGATGAAGTGAAGGTGAAGTCCAGACGCGAAGATAGCTGATACAGCAGTTCTACCTGCCACACCAGCCATCCTCACCCTGCCGGCCTGCATGTTGCTTCTTCACGCCTCTTTTAAAGGATCCCAGGTTGTAAGAGGGAGGGAACACGTGAGCGGGCAGAGCATTCCATTTACGGATAGTGCGACAAAGAAATGAGTCACCAAATTTCTTTGTACGCGTTGGAATTGTGGCTACAGTAAGACGGTGACAACGTAGGCCAGCGCGCGTGGTCCTCTGAAGGAAAGGGGAAGGTGGGATAAGAGAGAATAACTCCTCAGAACACTCGCCGTGGTACAAACGATAGAACGCGCTTAGTGACGCCACGTCACGGCGTAATTGAAGAGGCTCAAGGTGTTTAGTCACCTCCTCATCGCCTATGATGCGGATCGCGCGCCGCTGTAACCTATCCAAAGCATCGAGCAAGTACTTGGCGGAGCCATCCCAGAGGTGCGAGCAATATTCCACGCAGGACCGCACTTGCGTTTTGTACAACAAGCACAGTTGATCGGGCGCGAAAAAACGCCGCACCTTGTTCAGGACTCCGAGTTTGCGTGAAGCTGTTTTGATCACGGTTTCGATGTAGTCCTTTGGATTCAGGTCTGAGCGAACTTCCATACCGAGCATGGAAATGTTGCTCTGCAGCGGTAGTGTTGTGCCCTGAAGAGATGGAAGGGGAAGGAATGGCGATCGATGTTTTTGCCGTGAAAGCGCAAGCCTGAGTTTTCTTGGCATTGAACCCAACCAAGTTCCTGGTACCCCATTCGGAAATGTGGTCCAAAGCCTGATTGAGCTCAATGACAAGATTTTCCCGTTTCTCCCTGGTTACTGCCCGCCCAGCCGCTGCTTGTCCGAGATACCCCGCATGCACTGTACTATCGTCTGCATAGCAATGAATATTCCCAAGAGGAATCAAGTCATTGATATGCAGCAGAAAGAGAGTGGGGGATAGGACGGAGCCCTGGGGAACGCCGGCATTCACTGACATGAACCGCGAACTGCTACCATCCGTAAGGACACGAATTCTACGCTCATGCAGGAAGTCAGCTACCCAAGAACAGAACTGGGCTGGCAGACCGTATGCCGGAAGCTTGGAGAGAAGGCTTTTGTGCCAGACCCTGTCGAACGCCTTGGCAATGTCAAGGCTGATAGCCAACGACTCGCCACGCTTGTCGATAGCCTCACCCCAGATATGAGTTAAGTACGCTAGAAGATCACCCGTCGATCGTTTCGGTCTAAATCCATATTGACGATCATTAATCAGGGAGTGATCCTCTAGGTAGCGGGTCAGATGGTTATTAAGGACCTTT